TGGGCCCTGTGGGATGGGGGGGCAGGGCTCTGGGATGGGGGCAAGGGGCTGCGGTGGGGGGCAGGGCCCTATGGGATGGGGGGACAGGGCTGCGGTGGGGGGCTGGGGCCTGTGGCACGAGGTAGCTGGGGGCTGCAATGGGGGGCAGGGACCTGTGATGCAGGGGTGTCAGGAGCCTGTGGCACAGGGGTAAGGGGGATGTGGTCGGGGGGCAGGAATCTGTGGCATGGTGGGGTATGGAACTGCAGTGAGAAGCAGCGGGGCAGGAGACTGTGGTGCGGGGGTGGGGGGAGAACAAAGGGGGGTGTTTGGGGCCTCTGAACATGTCAGCAGGATCCAGAAGCCTGGGACATCATTGGGGAATAGGGAGTGGGGCTGGGTGGTGGAATACTGCAGCACTGGTATGGTGGGGAAGCAAGTGAGAGGTCTAGGGAAAGATTTTGGACTCGGTGAGCAGAGGAGGGAGAACTAGGAAGGGAACCTGAGGACTTTGGCAGTGGAGGAGGGATTGCTGTATAGTGGGCTCAGTGTAGTATACAAATAATAACAATAGAGGGACATGATATTAAAAGAGGTGTTTTTCAGTGCGGGACCAGGCATGATCAGATTAGGGGAAAGTAGGAGAGAACAGGTCCTTTGGCGGACGGTGAGGTGTGGAGGCAGGGAAGGAAGACAGGCTGTGTTAGGATGTGGTGTTTATGACTGCTTATGTACAGCCATCCCTCCTGCTTTCAGGGGTGCTCTGAATCTGCCCCTGGCAGAGGGCTCTTCTTGGTCAGAAGAAGGAGCAGCAGCAGCATCTACTATTGTTTTCACTTTTACTTTTGTTTGTGTGTATTGAGGAAGCTTAGACAGAAAGGGGAGGCATTCTCTGATTATTTTTTTTATTGCTGCTTATGTAGTTGCAATTAGTATTTAAGCAGGGGGTAAGATATGCAGAGGAAACAATGTTTTACAAATGAAGCTGCAGTCTTTCAGCCTTCATATGTCATGTAATTGTCTAGTATTGGCTTGCTGCTTGCTTACAGCAGGGAATGTACAGAAGTTAAACATCAGCCACGCAGCATAGAAGGGCAAAATAATTAAATATTGAATGTGTGTTAGAAGTTAGGAATGGAAACTTTATCTTTTAGATCAAGTCCATACCCATGTAAAAGGAGAATTGGATATTCAGTGTATGATTTATGTAAATCTATGATTTACAGGGATGCTGAGCACTGATTCAAGGAGAACTGCAGGTACCTTTATCTATAGCTCAAGAGTTACTATGTTAGTTTGAAGTCCAAGAAGAAACTTTCAGTTTGAACACTGTAAATCCCACTAATAAGCAGGGAAGCTGGGATGGACCGTGGTTAAAGCACTTAACTCAAGAGATCTAGAGTCAATTCCTCCTCCTGCCACAGACTTTCTGTGTGACCTTGACTCACTCAAGATAGGAATTTTAAAGCAGACTAAGGGCTTGTCTGCATGGGGAAGTTTGCCAACATAAGGAAACCACTATAATTATATCAGTCTGGCATCCCCTGTGGACACACTTATTTTGGAATGAGTGCTTTCTCCATGTTAGTTTATGTTGGTTTGGAAGTGGTATGAATTAATCTAGAAAAAGGCATTCCTATTCCAGACTAAGGGTGTCTACATGGGGTGCCAGACTGATATAGTTATGATAGTAAATTTCCTATTGTGGATAAGCCCACAGAATTCGGTGCTTAATTTCCATTGAAATTCAGTGAGTGGGTTGCCTAACTCCCTTAGACTCCTTTGAAAATGCCTGCCTTAATCTTTTCCCTGCACCTCCTTTTCCCAGCTATAAAATGAGGTACTTTCTTACCTCACAAAGGCATTGAGAGTAAATTCATTAATATTTGTGATTGATGAGATACGTTTGAGTACCTAGATTGGTGATCTGCCTTCTACAAAGTAAATGTAAGGTCTGTCATGTGGTTTGAATGTTATCTTGGGTGCTTGCCCTGACTTTGGCATAGTTTTAATATACTAAAGGTCACATTTTACTTTCAGCTGAAAAATCAGATAGTTTCTTTTAGGTAAGAGAAGGCAAGATGTACTCTTTCTGCCTTCCCTCTCATTTTTTTCTGATAAACATTTTGTAGAAAAGTAAAGACACTGATGCTCTTTCAGTGTTCACATTGTGCCATTGCAGTAAAATGAGTCATCATTCCTCACAGGCTTCCAGGCTCATTCGGCCAGCACACCACAGTTAATATATATTTTGGCAATGCTATGCAAAACTTTGCAGGACACAACTGATTTTTAATCTACAAATGATGCTTTCTAGTCTCTCTGTTTCAAACAAACAAAGCATCTCCTCCTTTTTTCCCTACCTCTTCTTTAAAATAAAAAAAACCACAAAAACTCATTACCTAGTGATATACCTGAGTAAGAGTTCATTTAAACCAGAATATCATTTTTAGATGGAAGGAATCAACTAGCAAACATCTTTTGGGTATGAAGTTTTAAAAAAGGAGGGCCTAATGCTGATTTGAATACAATTGATTTTATAATATACCCAGGACTTCTCACTGGAGACAGTGGGAGACAACTCTAAGTAGAAATTAAATGTGTTAGACATCTTCTCAGTTATTTTTCAATGTTTAGAGCTCCAAAATATAGTTAAGACAATATAGGAAATGAGATTAGGGGGTTGTCAGATCCAGTCATTTCCTATTAATATGCATTCTGCACCTAGAATTGAGCCAGCTTCTTAAAATATTCATATGAGTGGGAGAAATATGATATGTGCAAGGTTCATAACACAGACAAATCAGATCATGTCCTCCTATGTGGAAAGTTATGTAAAATATATTAGCAAACATTTTCAAATGTAATTTACTCCTGGGGGAATTCTGCACCAAAAAAATAAAAATTCTGCACACAGTTTTTTAAAATTATTCATATTTTATTTGTCAAAATAACACAGTATAATCATACCAGTTTCAATTATTTTTGGTCATTTATTTCAGAATACTTGTCAGCAAGTGTGTCTGTTACAATACAAACAACAAAAAAGATTCAGGAAATATTTTTTGACAAATAGATTCCTTACTAGGCATATTAATACAGAACTCTGAGTAATAATTCATTTAAACTACAATACAGAACTGTATTTCCCGCACCCCTCAGAAGCAGTGCAAAGGCTTGGGGGAGTCAGGGGTAACGGAGGAGCTGAGGGAGAGGGAAGTAAATTGCTGGAAAGGAGCCTGAGTGTGAACTTGGAGGGTTGTTGGGTATGGATGGGAAAAGTATGGAACAGGTTTTTGGGGGTGGAGGGGAGAGATTGTAGGGAGCTTCCCCCATGCAGACCCTGGCTGACCCCTATCCTCTCCCATTCAGTCAGGCACATTTGCCCCTGTCCCCATGTGTTCCTGCACCCCTATGTGTCCTTACACCCCCTGTCCACATGCGTCTCTTCACCCCCACTCAGACACCCACTCCCTCATCCCCATGTGGCAATGTACCTCTTCCCCCTATCCCCACTCCACCACCCCTCTGTCCCTATGTAGCTCTGCACCCCCTCCCTTGTCACCATGTGGCCCTGGACCTCCTTCCCCCCTGTGGCCCTGTTCCTCCACTCCCATTCAGCCTCTGCCGTGCAGTCTGTCCTCTCCCACTAGCCCTTATGAGCCCCTGTCCCCCCCAGCACCTCATGTTGTCAGACTCTCCATAACCCCTGTCTCCTGACCTGGCCTGACCAGTGCTGTGAAGAAGGCGGGTTCTTTCTCTTCCTTAGCTGGCCAGGAGCTTCTATTGTGGTCTATTGCCACAGTGCCTTCTGGTGGGCAAAAGGTGGAACTGCAGAAGTTATTTTCTGCTGGGAGCTGCTGCTATTCTTGCGCCACAGTGCCCTGTGGTAAGCAACAGGCGGAACTGCAGCAACATTTTGGCAGAAGCTTTTTTCTGTGTAAAAAAGTAAAAGTATGCGTGGCTCATTAATTATGCACACACCCAGTAGCACAGATTTCCCCCAGGAGTAGTAATTGTCCACTGGAACATATAGAAAATTATCAGCCAAGCTCTTGGAAAAGCTTGCATCTCTGGCATTCACTTGTGATAGGTGAAGAGGAGAACTTGAGAAATGCCATGTTCACTGTTTTGCAATCTATTCAATATTTACCTTATTTTAATATCATTTACAGACACATCATACCTTAAAAGACATGCAGGTTGTCATGCATCATCATAGAGTCCCGGAAAGGCTGTTGGTTTCTTTCTAATTGTGCCCCTTTACCTCTACTTTTGAACACAATAGGGTCTTGTTAAGGTTTATGTAGCCTGCACTTCCATTGCTGAGAATAGAATTATTCCTCCTGAGACACCTTACTTTTATAAGTCTGACCTCTCTTATTGTGATTTCGAAATAAGATGCAGTTGCTGATCTTTGTCAATATTTGTGGTTTGTATTTGTTACTTGATTTTGTTTTCTTTGTTCATTTTAAAGAACATATTAATTATAAAGACAAAAGCTAAGCAAGAAATCTGTCACAACCCTTATATTAGGTCCTTTCTGTGTTGTATTTCAAGATCTGTGTGATGTATTTCAGCACCATTACAATAGATTCACTACTCAGCATTTATTGCTAGAATCCTGCAAATCTATTTTAGACAGCTTACACGAAAGCTAGGCATGAATATATCATGTGACGGTCATTTTCATTCCTCTTCTGAAGAAAAAGTATGAGTGTCGTGCAACTAAAGGAGAAGTGTTGTTTAATTAGCTCATTGCACTATATGGATATAAACTAACAGTAGCCATTATGTAGTCAGTGAAAAGAACAGGAGTACTTGTGGCACCTTAGAGACGAACAAATTTATTTGAGCATAAGCTTTCCTTCCCCACTCTGAACTCTAGGGTACAGATGTGGGGACCTGCATGAGAACCTCTAAGCTTAACTACCAGCTTAGATCTGGTTTTCCTGCCACCACCCAAATTATTTATGAGTCATTTGGGAAACTCTGTCTACCTCCCCCCCAGAATATCTCCCTCCCAAGTACTATAACCCTTCCCTTGGTAACCTTGAGAGTACTTTTTCACCTAATTTCCTGGT